TTCCTTTTTTAAAGCTGAGTTCAATGGTGGTATTTTTTTAAAAATCTGATGTGTGGATCACATGATATTTCAATTTTCTAAGTTCCCATTATAGGCCTTCTGCACTGTAGGAATCTATATATATTGGAGATGGTACGCTAAACATTTTCCAATCAAATTAGTAAAGGTATATAATACTGGTGAATATTGCTATATACACAAATATTATTTATATGTACTTTTCAAACTTTTCAAATTATAATTTTTTATCTTTTATTTCTTGATAAAACAAAAAGACGGTGTATTCAGATCCAAAAAAATTTATTTATTTGGATATATCATCCATATGGAGTCATATCAGTTGGAGCATGGACAAATTTTGCAGCCAACGATTATTCCAAACATTTCCCTGGTATAACATGTAGACTGTTGACTTTTTCAGCCAATTTCAATATGCCACTTTATCGTGAATATTTGATGGCTCAAGGTGTCGCGTCTGTAGGACCAGGTCATTCAGTGATGATTGTGATTGGAGGAGCAGGTGAAAGTTTGAGTACAAGGCCAGGTGTTGTGATTTGATATTGAAAAAAAGGTTAGGGTTTATTAAGTTGGCCACACGATGTGGTGCTTGTCTGGTACTTGTTTTTTCATTTGGTGAAAATGATATTTGGGAACAGGCTAATAATCCTAGGGAAGGTAAAGTTTGGAAATTTCAGAAGCTGATATAAAAGTATATCGGATGGACAATGCCATTAGCCTACGGAGGAGGACTTTTCAATTGTAAGTTTGGAGAAATGTAAAAGAGAGAATTTGTTGGAAGAAGGTGGATAATTATTTATTTGTTTGATCTAAAAATTTATTTTACTTTAGATGATATCAGGGTTCTTCCACATAGAAGACAAATTACAACTGTTGGTATGTGTCATGTATTTTATTTCTTCCTAATGCACATATTTTAATCATATATATAATGATTATTGTATATAGTTGGTAAACCAATTGAAGTCAAACAAAATGCTAATCCAAGTGATGAAGAGGTTTTTAAAGTCTAGGAAAAATATATCGAATAATTATTTAAAGTTTGGAATGATTATAAAAATATATATGCACCAAATAGAAAACGTGAATTAACTTTAGTAGAGTAATTAATTAATCTAAAAAAAAAAAAAAGCAAAGTAACAATCAAACAAATTTATTATAGTTATATTAATATTAATAATTATTTACTGTATATATAATTAATAAATCCAAAAAAATATAAGTTTTCTTCTTGGATTTGGCCAATAGAAAAGTGAAATGGAAGATCCAAAAAAAAAAAGTTCACAGTGACGACGATATTTTTACTGTAACTTATTTTAATTAAAAAAAAAAAATGTTTAAATACATCTTTTTAATTATTATTCTCAATTTCCTCATTCTTATTACACCATTTTTTTTCTTTATGCTTTTGATTTATTGGCCATTTTTGTTAGTGATGTTATTTCTTTATAAGATTGAAAAGTATTTCAGGTATGTTTGTTGTCTAGGACATTCAAATTTGATTATTGTTTTAACGTAATTAATTATCAAGCAACCCACAAAACTTTCAACAATTTATTAAATTTGAACGGCATACACGCATACACACATACATTGTAACAATGATTTCATTGATCAATGAAATTCCTCAAGTCGGAATTTTTAATCAATTTGATAAAAATATTTTTAGAGGTAAAAGAAAAGTATACTTGCTAAAAAAAATAATAACAATACCAACAACTCATCCATTCAATTACAGCCTCAACAATTACAATATCTAAACCAGGGGCACGAAATGCACGACCTGGACCACGACAACAAGTATTTACAGATGTAAGGGGCGAACTTAAAATAATTGATTTAAGGCCTTGGCTTAGGGGATTTGATACAAAATGTATAATACTAGAATGTGGTAAGTAAAGTGATTAATGATGAATCATTGAACATACATTAAAATTATTATTATTATTATTATTATTATTATTTACTAATATTATTATTTACTAATATTATTATTTTTAGTTGACACATTTATAGCATCAAGAATTAATGCACCAGTCAATATCTTCTTGGTAGCTGATGAAACTGCTAAATGCAGAATGGCAATCTGGGGAGATATTGGGAATGAACTTAGGGAGCAAGATGTTGTGAATATTAAAAATGGGTATAGTAACATCAATCAATCAATCTCATTTTTTATTTTTCTAATTCATTTAATTGAACTAATTTATATATTTACAGTGAAACAAGATTATTTGATAAAAGATTACGATTAATATTAAATAGAAATGGTGGAGAAATTAGGATTATTGAACGGTAAATTGTGGTTTTGCTTTTATTAGTCATGGTTGCAGCCGTGGGGTGGGGGGTGTTCAAAATCATTTATTATTTTATCTATTTATTAGGGATACTACTTATTACGTTGAATTGGGCCAGCCAAATATAAGCGAAAGAATTTGGCCAGAATAATCATTATTTTACATTTTACATTTTATATATTTATTTGAATTTAAATTTGCACGATAATTTTTTTTTTAAAAAAAATTTCTTTTTATGTAAGACCATCACCATCTTCACGATAATATCTTCTAATAGTAGAGATCCAGTCTTGATGAAGTTTAAAAACTGATCGTGAAAAATCAACAATCAATACATACATTGTCCATTTTGAAATTTTCCTTCCTATTTCTCAAAATCAATAAATGCATAACATAAAGAATCACCGATTTTTCTTATCACAAATAGTTTCAACTATTAATAAAGCCAAATCGGGAAAAAATCAATTTTCAGATGTTATTTCTAATGTTAATAATACTTTAAGCCTGAACTTCTGTTTGTCATTGTTGTTTTCCTCAATTTCTCAAGATGGAAGCTCTGAATTTGCTATATTATTACTTTTATTATTATTATTATTATTAAAATTTGGTGTTACTATTGCACTGTGGGTTCAAATACTTTATTGCTTCCAAACATATTAGTCGCGGGACATTGCGTAACTACAGGGGGGTCAAATGTAAACCCACTAATAAAAATTTTTTCGATAGACATGGAATTTTATAAGCTAGACTCCTATTTTTAATAGTCGTTAGGAAGTCCTAGTCTGGTTAAAAGAAAAACAACGAATTTTTTTTTGAAGTGGACGACAAAAATTTTATTCGTGTAACGGTTATAATGATGACATTTGATCTGCAATGTCCTGCGACTGATAGACCTTATTGGCCAATCAAGATAATCTATCCTAATATGAAGAAATTACAACTGTTTTTGGTAATGATATTCGGTTTTAATTTGGAAAGATTTACAAGTCTTAGTATATGGGGCATGCTGCAACAAAACCAGACAAAGTGAACATTGGTGTTACCAAGGATTTCAGGGATCAAAATTTAGT